TTGAAATCATTTCCAAATTTTCAAAGAGATTAGATAAAAACAAAGATGGGAATGAGCCTTACCACTTTCAACTTCTTGAGAATGTTATCGAACTGAGTTGTATCGAACGCCCAAGGATTCGGCTTATCGAGACCAACACCTGCTCCAGAATTTAAACTTTTAGCCCTGTAACATAAACTATAGATGCATATACAAAACACATTTCCCCTAAAATAAACAGAAAATAATGACTTTGTTCAGAATAAGTGCAAAGTAGCTCTATTTCAGTTTCCTCTGTCTAAATTCGAAAACTTCATCTCTCCATTACATACACCTATACATACAGACATTGGAGAGAACTATGAAGTAGAAACGAACCAGTAGTATCTTGTTTGTTCTGGACTCTCACATAACCTTTGATCCCTTGCTTATCTTTACCAAGTCCTTCACCTTCTTCCCAACCCTAAAAAAAAGTCACCAAGATCCAAAAATGAGGTCTTTAAAAAATCTCTACACACATTAAGATCATTACCGGAAAAATCCACTAACCATGGATTTCATTAGCCGGAAAGCGGCGGATTCCCTAGGGATTCCGACATATTTGACCGGAGCTTCCGGCGCCGCCATCTTCTCTTCTTATTTTCCGGCGATCGATTACAGATAATCCGTCGCCGTTTCGATGAAGCTCAAAAGCGGTGTTGAAGAGAAGAGTGGGCGAGGAGAGTTTAGGGGAAGTTGGAGGAGAAAAACCTAAAGCGAAACAAGTAATGAGAAATAATACTCTACGACGCGGTGTATCGTAAACTTCAGTGATCGACGGTTGAGATTTAATCAAATGCTGAATGGGCTATAGTACAGGCCCAAGAAAGTATTTAAACCAAGCCATAAAAGCCCAACTTGAAGCTTCTTTTACATATACTTATTTTACACTACTCCACAATTTTACAACTGAAAATTTATCCAGAAATATTAATATTTTTCAAAAATATCAAAGTATTTAGCAAATAAAATTGACACAACAAATATATATTTTATGCAGTATTCTAAAAAACGTTCTAGACGTTCGCCTAGGCCCCCTATAGACCGTGTCGATTACCGTTTTTACCACC